GGACGAAACACCTTTTTCATATCTCTTATAGACGACCCCACACGATTTCTATGAGGAAGTTTGCCTTGCAAGCTCAAAGTAGATGGCGCCAGGATATACCAGCTCTGTCATGGCGACTCTTGGAAAAATTCAAAATGTATTGTTTAAAAACAAAATTTTTTTTTTAAGACTACTGTCAAAAATACGTTATATAGCATTTCATGAAAATAAGTAATTAATTTAACAATATAATAGTACTTTTCCTACGAGTTTGAAAAGTCTTTGTTTGCGAACCGAGAGGTTTGCGGCCAGAGCCGAAGGCGAGGTCCGTAACGAGGTTCGTAAAGGAGACTTTTCGAACGAGTATCGGAAAACTGCTTTTTTGCCCGAGGAAGTACTAGCCTCCCAAAACCACGCGATGGCGGAAAAATATTTTTTGCTTATATTTTATGTAGAATAATTAAGTAGATGAAACATCAATAAAGCTCAACTGTACACATCCACGGAGATGTATCGTTAGAGTTGGGGAGTATGTTTATAACCTATACGTAAACGGTATCAATATTGAATTAAAAAATGAAGTGCAGTGTTTTAAATTGTAAAAATAAAGTAAAATTTAAATTTCCATCAAATCAGAGTAATAAAAAAAAATGGCTGAAAGTTATTGAAAGGCCAAATTTTGTACCAACTTCAAGTCATGGAATTTGCGAACAACACTTTCATCCAAAAGATATCGTTACAGAGTCTTTTACGGGTATTTTTTGTTTATATTAAATGAGTTTATAATTTTTTAAAGTAATGAAATATCGTTTCAATCCTATTAGGTGGATATAAATTACAAAAAATTCAGCTTAAACGAGGAGCTGTTCCTTTCTAGAGAAAAATTAATGAAAATGTAGAAAAAGCCAACAATAAAATGTTGAGGCAACTTGTGGCTCACAATCTCATATCTTTGTTGCATCCAAATCTAACAATGACAACTGTGAATCAACCATCCCTGCAAAATCTCATTGCAATACTCAAAATGAAGTTAGTACTGATGAGCTTATTAGTGAAAAAACAACCAGTGAAAATAATGGTTTGAGTACTCAGTACAAGCAAAATGAGTTGATGAAACACAGATTGTAGAACCAATAGGACTTGGAAAGAGTGAAAAAAATGACAGCTTTCTTCAAATTCAGAACCAACAAACCAACCTTCACGAAGCAAAGAGAACAATATCATCTCAGACAGAGAAAATTTCTCGCTATGACATCCAAGATTTCAAGGATAATCCAAAAAGTTTGCTCCATTTAACAGGATTAGAAAATTACTATAAATTTATGACCGTGTTATATTCGTTGGGGCCTGCTGTTTATAATTTGAAATATGAACGAAGTACCGTTGGAAATTTATCTGTACCTAACCAACTGTTTTTAGTATTGTGGAAGCTACGTCGATACCCTTGCGATATCGAACTATCTGAACATTTCAATGTACCTCAGATTGCAGTGGGAAACATATTTATAACGTGGATTAAGTTCATGTCACAAACATGGTCACTTATCGATTTGTGGCCCAGCCGAGAACTTGTAGATTTTTTCATGACAGATAATTTTAGAATGAACTACAGTAAAACTCGAGTAATAGTTGATGGCACAGAAATCAAAGTAGATGCTTCGAGCAACCCAACATACTAGCAGTCATTGTTCAGTACTTATAAAAATACTAGTACTATGAAAACAATTATCGGTACGAGTCCGGGTGGACTAATAACTTATTTCTCTCCTGCTTATGGAGGTTCTACAAGCGATCGACAGATAATAGAACGATGTGATCTCCAAATAAAATGTCAAGCAGGTAATGTAATTATGGGTGACAAAGGTTTCATGATACAAGACATATTCGCTCCCTACAGCATTACTGTTGCTACACCAACGCCCTTAGTCTCAGGTTCTTTGTCTAGCAAGCTGGTATTAAAAGATCGAAAACTATCGAAGCATCGAGTACAAGTTGAAAGAATCATAGGATTGCTGAAAAGTTTTACCATACTCTCAAAAAAGTTAAATCACAACTACCTTCCATTGACATCAGATATAGTTGGAGTGTGCGTCATGCTCACAAACTTCAAAGAGTGTATTATATCAAAAGATATGTAACAAATTGTTTCAAGAATATATGTGTTTATGCTTAGAACTATTTAAATTTTATTTCTATTAGGATAAGCATAAAGTTAATAAAAAATGCTAATTTTGTTCTTCAACAGAGATCACTATATTACTAGATGCACAGATGTATGGATCCTCAAAAATTTTTTAAATTGAAAACAACGTTTTTAACATTTATTGATAGGCAGCTCCATAGTTTTTAAATAAATATTTTTCAATTATTTCTGGTTGCAGATATGTATAATAAAAATAATCTAACTTAACAAGCATTTCTGATATAAAATTTTCATCTCTTTCAACAGAAATTCTGACATCAATAAAAGTGTACACAATTAAATCGCAAAAACTCCTTCCAGTTACATACAACTGTCCTTGGATTTGGTAAAAATAGGGATGTTCTCTTTTCAAACTTAAATTGACATCGTCATCCCTTCGGAGGTATGGAACAGTTTTCTCATTTATTTTTTGGTTTCTACTTGAATAAGGGCATTTCACTTCAATAATTGATAGTGAGTACAGCAATCTATCTGGACTAGCACCAAGATAAGGACGTTCCATTGATACAAACAGTCCACATGTTTTAATGTCCAAAGTATTGTGATGTTGTTTGCTGAACTCATTGATGGCAACTTGTTCATAGATGTGTCCATGGTCAAGTTGCTTTAGATGTAAATGAGGTTGGCTCCATAATTTTTTTAACCAAAGATTTGGAAGCTTCTGAATCTGAATATCTGATACAGCAAGTATGCATGAAGCTATAATAATATCTTCTTTTGATACATCGAGCAAATGCAATGATTTCAACAATGTTTTGATATTTGAAGTCTTGGTATAACAAGAATGATCCCACTCGACACCGTACATATTTTCTGGCTCAACTATCTGTTTTATTGACATGTTATTGTTCATTCCTCTGGCAACAATGATATTTCTAAAATAATTTTTGTACCACAAAATATAATCATCACTATACAGTGCATGTGACACAGGCTCTGTGGTTTTTCTTTGAAATTGCACTGCTTTAATTGGGGATGCATTATACTTTTTGGTAGGATGGTGAAAGGTGTGAAGCTTTTGAGTGCATTCGACAACAGCTTCTTTCCTTAAGTGTAAGTCTTTCATACCTAAAAGCAGTATTATAACATGTTTACAATGAGCTTCTATGGATTGTCCAACTGGACAGTCACAAAAACATTCTAAAATCTCTCCTGTCATATTAAAGCTAACATTAACTACATATTGCATGTGTTTCTTCAGTTCAGCCTTACAATTAGCTCTTACAAAATAAATATCATCTGAAAAAATAACATTCATGTCACATATACTGCGTTATTATAATCATTTTCGTTAGCATATAATAAAGAGTTGTACTTTGGAAAGAATATCTTATGAATTGTAAAAAACCGGATTTGTACATTTCATTCGCTTTTTCTGACTGTTGATTAAACTTTTGTAAAAAAGTTTGGAATTGTTTTTCAGTAAAAGAGGGTATTGGGCATGATGAATGTACGTCTTTGTAAGTATCTGGGGGAGGAGTCCTTAAAACTTCTTTATCCTCTATAGGTACAAACCCAAAGTTATCATTTTTTTCATAATGAATCAGCCTGTGAATATTTGCATCAAAATAGATATTCCACATATTAAATTAGTAATTCTCAAGGGGGTATTACACATATAACCTATAAAAATCATTAACCTGTCAACAAGCTCCGATTTTCTTCCTGTTATCTTTGCACCTCTATCTTTCAACAACAACTTCAATTGTTTAATTGTCATCTTACCATACATACTTTGCCCATTCATTTCAAAACTCTCAAAAACGCATCCACAACTTCTTTCGAGCTTTTGGACTAGCTGTTATGATAATGCATGCACATAAAATGTATGTATAAATCTAAACTTGGTAACCATGGAATCAATGTATTAATTGCTTTATTTATATTTCTGTGTATTCTATAGTTTCATATGACTAAATAATAGTATTTGCCATAGTAGGTCTTAAAAAAAAAGTTTTTCCGCCCTCGGGTGGTTTTGGGTGGCTGGTACTTCCTCGGGCGAAAAAGCAGTTTTCCGGAACTCGTTCGAAAAGTCTCCTTTACGAACCTCATTACGTTCCTCGCCTTCAGCTCGGGCCGCAAACCTCTCGGTTCGCAAACAGAGACTTTTCAAACTCGTAGGAAAACTACTATTTTTACGAACCTTGTTACGAACCTCGCCTTCGGCTCGGGCCGCAAACCTCTCGGTTCGCAAACAGAGACTTTTCAAACTCGTAGGAAAACTACTATTTTTAAAACAATATATTTTCAATTTTCCCGGGAGTCGTCATGACAGAGCTGGTTTATCCTGCCGCCATCTACTTTGAGCTTGCAAGGCAAACTTCCTCATATATCGACAACGGCCAAAGTGCTACTTCTGAATTTCATAACTCGAAACCCAGAACGAAGGCCCCGCCAAAAATGATACACATTGTTTATTATTATAAAATCTCATGCTGAAAAAAATACCACCGTAAAGTTAAGAAATTAAAGATTCTTATTGAGATGATCAGACTGTTGGAAAGGATCTTGATATTAATGAAAAAAATTATTTACTCCAGGCAACCATGCTACTCCGTGTATTCTCGTAACCACGTGAACTCACCACTTAGCCACAAGTTGGCGCTGGTGTCTTTGTGCACGGAGCCTATACATTCAAAAGTGTTGGAACAAAATCATAAATGTATTTATATGAAGTTAACTTCCTTTCTCATAATCGTTATCAATACTTGAGCTAAAAAAACGCCCCCTTTTTTCAACGGGTATCGATAATTATTACTAAATGGCTCATTGAAAATATTGAAGTGAAATAAAAGCAAAATAAATGTATGTAATGATGACCAGTATTTGATAACATAACCTAACATGCGTTCTCAGAAGAACAAATTATTGATCGGTAAAGTTTTTCATTATTTAGATTTAAAAACATCCATCATGTAAGAAAATAAGATGTGAAAAAATAAGGGAACAAGAAATGTCTGTGGTTACAGTCTAGATAATGATTCGTATCAAGATTTCTTTGTATACTTTGTACTCCTGCAAATATGTTTAAGCACCTTATAATTTTTCTTATCGGCATTTCCAACATCAAATGTATTTTTGGTTCCATAACTTGTAAGCCAAAAGTTGGTAAGTAACAATAATAAGTAGTTGACACTTTTATTGTTGTACCTTCATGAAATAAATATTTATATTAATATTACAGCTGTTATTGGAGCTGGAATCGGTGGAGCATCTGCATCTCAATTCATCACAGAATTGTTCAACAAAAACGTGGAAATAGATGTTTTCGAAGCCAAGAAAATTGGTGGTCGCTTGGCTAACATTGAATTCGGAAGCAATGAATATGAAGCTGGAGGTGCGATAATACATCCAAGAAACAAGTACATGGTAGATTTTGTCAATCAGTTGGGCTTGGAGCACACACCACCTTCATTTGAAAGATTTGGTATATGGAATGGTGATGAACTTGTTTTTGAAGAAAGCAGTTGGGAATCTATCACATTGGTCAAACTTTTGTACAAATATGGAATGCAACCAATACACCTTTACAGATATGTGGATAAAATATTGGATGATTTTCAAAGAATTTATGAACACCAAGACAAGGGAGTAGGTTTTGAAAATGTAACTGCTTTGATTATGTCCATGAATAAAGAGTTTGCACAATTGTTGGAAACGCCAATGCATGATCATCTAACAAGCTTGGGTTATGGAGAAGAATTGATCAATCAATTAGTTAAGGCTACCATTGTGGTAAATTATGGACAGGATGTAAATATACATGCTTTTGTGGGATGTGTGTCAGTGGCTGGTGCTGGTTTTGATTTATGGTCAATCAAAGGTGGCAATAAAAAGGTACGTTTCTTATCTGTTTTCGATAATTACTTGAGTGTACACAATTTTTATTTTACATCTTCTCAGGTGCCTCAGTTTTTGCTCTCAAGAAACGAAAAAGTCACGGTCATATCTTCTACTGTTAAAAAAATTCACAAGCATTCTTTAGAAAATAGTCCCAAGTATGAAATTTTTCACAGACAAAGTTTGTATGATTGTCCATAAATGTCATCCTCAAATCGTCACTTTTGGATTTCATGTAAAATTTGACATTTCAGGTGAACAAAATGAAACAAGCGGTATCTATGATATTGTCATTATTGCTACCCCTATGACAAGTGATCATGAGAATCCAATAGCATTTAGTGGATTTGACAATCCAGATTTACATTTTCCTGGAGAATTTCAAACAACAATTGCAACGTTTGTATCAGGCAAAATTAACTATTCCTACTTTGAATTGGAAGATGAATTGGGAGGAATAATGAGCTGTGATCCGGATAAAACGAAAATTAGTTGTATTGGAAAGATATCCTCTGTCAATGGTAAACAAGACATTGATGCAGAAGTGTGGAAAGTGTTTAGTAGACAAGAATTGCAAAATATGGACAAAATCTTTTCAAAAGTAAGTTTTTTTAGGAGTGCCTGAGTTATTAGTGTTTCTTTTCTCGCTTAGTATTTGTATGGAAGTAAAAAATTAAATATTTTACGACTAACTAAAGGTCAATTTATAATGACCCCATAGATAAATGAAGTGAAAGAAATCAAATGGAAAGCTTATCCTCGATATTCATCGACTGGAAGACTAGATAAATTCAAGCTTGATGACTTTATGTATCATGTAAATGCAATCGAATGGGCTGCTAGTGCCATGGAAATGAGTGCAATAGGGGGAAGAAATGCTGCTATATTAGCTTACAATGACTATGGTCATAAATGTGTACCCCCAATGTCACATCACCAATCCCCAAACATGAAGACTCGAACACCTTCTTCAGAATTATGACAATAGGTAAATGTGATTTATAATTTTCATCTGGACAAGAATCGTTTTTTTTTTAATAATATAATTGGTCAAAGAACTAATTCATATTTACATAGATGCAGTTTGGCTTGAACAAGTATGCTTCAACACATAAGTATCAGCAATATTTTTAATAACGATATTGAATATGATAAAATGTGTGATTAGTTTTTGGATCACTTTCACACCTCACATAAACAAGCTTGCACATGTGATAATTTGATAATTGTATTTTACTACACCTATGCATGCAAATGTAATAATAAGTACATTCAAACGTAATTTACTTCTTGGATTGAAAAATTATTTAAGAGCAAATGTGTGAATGGAGGTATCCTTTTTAATACAACCACTAAGATATCTTTAATCATTTAGAATTGAAAATATTAAATAAATAAATCATCATCCAAATATGCAAGTACGAAAACTCTGTGATGTACCTATACCCATGTGGTTTCAGTTTAATGTTAGTTTACTTACAATAAAACCAGAACCAGATCCCAATAAACTTTATTAATTATATTTTACTAACTATGGAAGCAAGTCACAAAGTTTATGTCAACTTTCCGAACACTTTTTACACTTGAAAAAATCAGTTTAAAAATTTAAGGTTATAATTGGGAAATCATTTTTCGTCGGGTTTTTATCTAATTTTCTAATCAAAAAATGTAAAGTAAACTTGACTAAGTTTTTCAAATTCATTAAATCTGTTTCGTAGAAGGTGTACTTACTTTAAATTATCAATTAACCAACTGTATAAACTGTGTGTTATCTATTTCGACTTTCCCGAGTTCCCTCCAATGCTGGAAAATTTCACTCTGTGTGTAAACTGAAAAAGGTATTAGGTATGTAGAGAATACCTCTAATTTCAAACCTATAATCTTTGAGATTATCTTTTCATCTTGCAACTCGTTGCAGGTATCTTTCAGATGTTTTAAAGCCATTCTCAAGATTACAAAAAATTTAAAATACTAAAAAAAAAGATGAACTCAATGAGTAATTATTCAATTAAGAGTCTACTACATAATTAATTTGACTGTCTAAATTTTATGAAAACATCTCTAACTTTTAAAGTTCAAGTTTAGGAAATTTACAATTCTAAATAAAATTTTTTTCCAACCCCAATTGAACATAAAATATCCAATACCAGAATTTTTTAAACAAATGGATTGATTTTTACATTGTGTGGAGCTTTGGTTTAAAGTAGTATGTATGGTTTTCTTTTGAAACAAAATATTTTTTTTATTTTATACATCCGTTTTTGAGTAGCAGACATGAATCGATTCAAGTAAAATTATTATAAAATACTATTCATTGATTTTAAAAACTGTAAAAAATAATATTTATTTGACACAATTTTTATTAAATCAAAACTTTACCTTTCACTTATATACAAACCTATGATAATCGAATTCTTTGAGAAGTTGTTCTTACACGCTATGAAACACATTCACGAAACTTTTCGACACTTTTGTAAAAAAGCTCATGGTTTTATTATTTGTTTTATGCTACTTATCAAAAATAAAAAAATATATATATTATACGTTTACATAATAATTATCATTGCTAAAATACTATTAAAGTCATGGTACATAAAAATTAATTCAGTGGTAGAAAAATACAAAAAAGATTGCCTCGTCGCTCTACTGTTTCCCGTAACGCTATCGCGTATGCACATCTTACAAAATACTCTTAAAGTGTACGTTTAAAAATTTTGTTCTCCCAATGCTATCGTATACTCCTGGGCGTCGGCGACACTAGAAGCTCCACTATTTTCGGCAAATAGCAGAGTTTGTCCCTGACGACCATTGGCATCTCTGAGTTGTGATGCTGATCGTTATTGAACCGCAACACATTGCCGGTCGGGCTCTCATAGAGTATTCCTCCACCCTTATTTTTTGGAGTCACCTTTGAAAAACAAAAAATCACCAATCATCCCACAAATCACAAAACAAATTTCCTCAACATTCAAAGAAACCTACCGTGAGAACCGAGCCGTCCTTATAATCAACCCGTATGTCACCAGACGGCGTTTGGATTGCCGTGCCGATACCCGGCACATTGATTTTCGTCACCTTCGTTTGCGATACTCTGACGGAGTTCGATTTCCTAGACTGTGAATTTACGGTCGAAACCATAGAACAAGTCGCGTCGAACGAGGAAGGCAGTTGCTGAAGACAAAAATACAAATCCAATGAAGCCACGAGCATAAACTTTTCCCCGTGCCAATGAAAAACACTCACCACAGCAGGCACACTTGGGCCGCGCGACACGTTTTCCTTGCCCTGGAGCGGAGGCGTGATCGGTATTTGATCGGCGAGGGGTGCCGTTGGCCTGCGTCCGATGATCGCCGGGAAAAACGGATTACCCGTCGCAGTCTCGAGGGACGCGAGCGAGGACTCGAGCAGCAAACAGCGCTTGTAACAGTCGGCATAGTGGTCGTAGTACTCCTCGAGCCCAGCTGGTATCTCGCCCTCCACGTAGGTCTCGCCTGACTTACTTACTATCTTCACCACGTCCTTCACGCGCATCACCTAAATCGACAGAGCGATATTATCATTCTCTGTTTTGTAATGAATAAAAATGGGAAAAAAAGAAGGAATGCATGTCCTATGATTACTTTGACAGCGTCGTAGAACAGTATCTCGCAGTCGGGGTGCGGTCCGTTCTCCATGAAGAAGCACTTGGCGCGATTAGTGTAGAGTGTGATCTTGGGCGTCTTGGCGCGCACGAGACTTATGAAGCGCGCGGCATACTCGTACTTGCGGTGGTGCTTGGACGGCAAGCTCTCGTACGAGTAGATGCTGTCGGCACCGCGCTCGGGCAGAGGAGGCGGTTGTTTGCCCGGGGCGAGGGCTTCTTTGGGCTTGTAGAGAATGATGCGCAGACCGTCTCCCGATATCCTGCATACCTCGATTATTCTATCCTGTGGAAAGAAATTGTTTCAGCTTTTTTATTTGTCTTTGCTCTTCGATTGCTATTCGTAGGAAGGCGCTTACAATGTTGTTTCTCCTTTTGAAAAATTCAACGCACACCTCTCCGTTGCTGGATATGGTAAAAACAGCGTTTTTAGTCGGATGACGGGTAGGTTGAAGCCTTAGTGTCGATAACGGTGGCACTTCTAATTTTTCAACTGGTTGAACCTTAAAATTGAAAAAATGAAGAACCGATACGTTTCACAGGATGAACGTAAGATTAATGAGACCGACCCCTTCGGATTTGTCGCGCTCGTTTTCCTCGATTTGTCGATGACCGCTGCGAGCTCTAACGACCGCCGCGGCCTCGGCTGCCGCTACTGATGCCTCCGTTTCCACATCTCTGCGCTGATGCCTGCTGCCACTGGTCGACGGATCGCTGTAGTGCGACAGCTGAACTTGGCTGCTTCGAGGTGGCGGAGGTGCTGGGATGCCCGAGAGGACCGAGTCCTCTTGGTACTGCTGGTGGTCCGAGTATCTGAGACAATCCAGATAATTATTTTTTGATTCGTTGCTGCAAGCATGTGATGAAATTTGTTTCTCGGCGATTGCTATTTACCTGAATTGGTGAGAGCCGTGAGTGGAGGAATTTAGCTCCATCAGAGGCTCACTAAGTACGGTGGCGCGAGTATTATTGCTCATCATATGAATACTGTTGCTTGGCCGCTCTTCCGACCGCGATCGCATCCGCGGTCGACCGCACGAGGATAGGGTTCGACCTAGACCCGAATCAATATTGTCGCCTGACAATCGTGCAAAGCCAATTTTTTCCTAAAAATCAATAGGGCTCAAAATTATGAAGAATCGGTTGCTGAAGGATGAAAAATAATCATTTTTTTTTCCCCCACGTTTAGCCGATGTTTTTCCAAAGACGTGATGAACGGATGCTTGATTATGTCGCGTAACCGTATACGATCCTTTGGATTCTTCTTAAGCAGTCTATCAATGAGATCCTTGGCGTTTTCAGACAGATGCGAAGGCATCACGTAGTCCGCCATTACTACGCGAGTCAGGGTGCTTTTAACGGCGTCCGTGTCAAAGGGTGGCCTGCCAACCAGTAGTGTGTACAACATGCAACCTAATCCCCATACATCAGCTTCCAAGCCATGCGAAGATCTTGTAGCTACCTGTGTGAAAATCATTTTTTTGCTTGGTGTTGGACTAAGGCTTTTCATTAAATATCATACAAGCAGAAAGAATCGATTTACTTCTGGTGAAATGAAGTTAGGCGTGCCACACATCGTCAAATGCTTTTCGTCTGGTCGAGATAATTGGGTAGCAAGTCCAAAGTCTGCTATTTTCTGAAATATTAAAGTAATTTGTTGTTATTTTTTTTTCTTCTCATGTTTAATCCATACTTTGAAATGTGTAGGGAAAAGACTTACAACTTGCATGTCACGCGTTAATAATAAATTCGACAGTGACATGTCTCTATGAAGAATTTGATGCGAGTGAAGGTACAACAAACCTTGTACCACTTGTTGAATGATGCGTCCAGCTGATAAGAATAAGTTACCTTTAAATTCTTACTACTGTTGAAATTACTCTACAAAACAATTAACAATCACACAAACCTTCCGATTCTGGAAGGGTTCTGGAACCTTGCTCTTTGAGGTAACGCTGAAGCTCACCATTGTGGCACAATTCCAAAACTAGGTAAACGTAATTTTGATCCTCGAAAAATGTATAAAGTTCTAGTACTGCAGGATGCTTGAGACGCGAATGAATTGCCACCTCTTGCCTTACTCTACCCACCATCCCTGCTGCTTGCATCAGCTTTTTGTCGATCTTTATATAACATAAAATATTTCAAAAATAATTATGTATATCTGTCAGTCAATGAATCATAATTTAGTCTGGCCGAGGATCAGTTTGTTTCAACTCTTAGACTCGATTATCACTGTGTTTATTTGAAAATGAGCATCAAATGCAATGATTCAATGTTCATCTACATAATCATATTTACTGTAACTGCAATTACTTTTATGATTTAAAATTATGAGGCAATTAGTGAATGCATCATCAAAAATTATCAAAGATTCAGATTTCTTCAGTCGTTTTTTTTTTTGAACAAACAGTAACTGTGCTGCACAGAAAAAAATAATAGCATCAAGTACTGCATGGTCTTTGAGATGAAAAATAACCAATGCCGCCAAATAAGTGTTTGATTCATTATAAAATCATCATATTGACAGCTCAACAAAGGGGACCCAAAGCCCTGATAAAAAAAATAGAGGAGCGTCACTTGCCATTTTGATCGCCACCTCTAAACCGGTACGCAGACATTTCGCCTTGTAGACGCTGGCGAAGCCACCTTTACCCAGCAAGTTCAGCACCTGGTATTCCTGGATAAACAATCCAAAACACTTAGTAAAACCACTCACACTAATTTACAAAATTACTTCAAATGAAAAAAAAAAAAAAAAAAAAAAACAATATTTGTACGCGCGCGCACTGAGCTAAAGCGACCTAACCTCGATATTCTCGCCAAAGCCGCCAGAGGAGAAGGCGGGCATTGTTCGTGAGCCACGACTTTGTTTACTTGAGCATTGAAAATTTGTATATCCGAACTATATACTTTGACACTACTTCATCTAATAATGGCCCAGGCAGGGCTGGACTGACTCTGCCTGGATATATATTACGAAGCGCACGAACGTAAACAACCAACTGCCCAGACGTCCTGTATACATCATAAATTTGACACAAGAGTGTATATACGTATATATATGCTGAAAACGAAAGTGGCAGAAAATCTGAAAATACGTTAAAAGCGTCTGCTTGACGCGCGGTAGGTTTCTGCGCAATTGCGCAGGTGAAAATGGTGGTTGCTGTAACCGCGCGCGCGGGCTTTACATTTGATTTGAATGTTGTAGAGGCGTCGAAACGTTCGATTGCTCGATAAGTAAAGAACAATTGTGACATTCTTTTTTTAAGCCTAGGAATAGGTTTTACTATTAATTATTTAATAATAGATAATACATTTTCTCTCTGCAATAACGAAATAAATAATATGTTGCCTACGCTCGTGGATTGCGCTCGTACCCCATGACGATTTCACCTCTGCTAAAAAAGCAGTTCATGATTTTTCTAGTCATGTCGCTGTTGTCAGTGCCTCCTGAAAAAATAAGATAAGCATTCAATCATCCTTAAATATTAATTAAATTAAATTAGTTTTTAAAAAATGTGTAATATTTCAATAAGCTAACTTTGCGACTTGCAATATTTGGCTACTTCCCAAAATATACTCAGGCCATCGGTAGCTATACGGTAAGAACGCACGTCTTCGTTAACCGATCCGTCGGTGTTTACCTGAAGTGTAAAAAAAAAAAAAATAAATCACAGCGTAAGCCATTAATTATTTCTGACACTGAGTTTATTTTACGTGCCACGTTGAACTTTTGCATCATACACCTTGCGAATGCTTTCATTTTATCGTTTTCGGGAACGACGCGAGTTTGTCTGATTGCTTCAACTTCAGCTGCATTTACGTAAAAAAACCAACAGTTTTTATTTTTTACTCGGATTTTAGAAAAATTTTTACTCACGGTAAGTTGTTCCGCTCTCCTTGATGCAATCGTCTTCTTTTTGGTGCAAACTGGGATCCAACAATGTCAACACAATGAAGCCCTTTCAACAGTAATGTTTAACGTTTTGTCATAAGTACTCTATTTTGCATGGAAAAGTTGATACTTAAAACCAGTTGTCTAGAGACATCTACAAAGTTGCAACGAAAAATTAGATTGAAAAAAAAAGTTACTTACAAAAACAGCCGGTAAGCACGTGAATATGACGAAAACAATGAAAAGTTTTATTTTAAAAAATTAAGACTCTATAAACTCAGAGAAATTTAGAATAATTAGTTTGCGATGTATGCGATGTAACGCAAAGATTGTTTTCGATTGGAACTTCGGAGTTGATTTCAATGTTTCTCGAGAGATGGATAGTGAATTTTTTTACATTTCTAATCTATGGATGCAACAACACGTATTTTTTTATTCTCAGGGTGAAAATAATGCACGTCACATGTTTCACTAATCATAAAAATTGTATTTTGTATTTCTCATCTTGAGAAAATCATCCTAAAAATAAAAAAGAGATGCACATTATGGTATAAATATCTTAAAATAAATGTCTGTTATACAAGTATTTGATGTAACCAGTTTACATTTCTGCTGTAATGAATTAAAAAAGGGTTATCTGTGATTTGTTTTCATGATGACATTGAAATAGATTTTTTTTATTGCATAGTATGTCACTCATAGTAATGAACAAAAAATTAATATCTTACATTTTTTCATCAAAAATTTTTATTTTAATTTATTCAACTTATGAAAAATATTATTACAAATCACCTTTAGTTTTAATTTTGTAATCGATACAAAAAAATGTTTGAATTATTATTAAAACATTGTCGATTAAAATTTTTGTTTCTTTCATTCCTTAGTTCAGTTATTCTACGAACATAATTTAAATCCAGATACCCATAATTTTTAAAATAAGGATTAAGTAATGAATTGTCAGAAATCAGCGATTCTGAAATTTAAAATAAACTCAGAAAAAAGTATTACGGTTTCACAAAAAAGTATTTAAAAAACAAGAAGGTAATTGTGTATCATTATATCGAAAAGCCATAATTACAAAGTACTTAAATATTAATAGGAATATTAATAGATAATTTGTTCCATGGATGAATTACTAATTAAAAATTCAGAAATTTGTTATTAAATTCATTATAATCTAGTCTGCCCGTCTCTAAGTAAATGTTTTGAGTTTGAAGTCTTATTTGAACGAAAGGTTATACAGATTAGAATTTTTACAATATTACACTTATTGAGAACGAATATTTCACTATTTTATTACACATAAACTTTTCTCTTTTTTATCAATTTTTATCGCGCTTTTGGAGTTGGTCTCTGATTTAGCTATATATTTTCTTATCATTTTACATACTATCCTTAACCAATTCTCTTTTCAATAATTTTAATAATTTTCTTTTGCCGTTATCTTCTTCATTATTCTTTAATCATAAATTCTAATTTGAATTTGTAATTAAAAGTCCTAAAGCTAGAATTAAAATTTTTCGTTCTGAATAATACAAATTGTATACTCGAGTATACAATTTGTATTATTTAAATTATTTGTATTATGAGCTCATACGCAAAATTTCTTACATACTTTTCACGGAAAGTGTGGGAAAAATTATAGTACATAAAAATGAACATATTTTGTATGTATTGTAAAAAAAGAAATTCTATTTGGATGTTCATTTTACGTTTACACAACTCAAAACGTTGGTTACCTACATGGCTTCTATAAAATAAATAGTTGAGTCAATAAGAGTTTTTTTTTTTTATGGATATTTTCTACTCATCCTAAAGATTCAAAAATTTTTATACAGTTATATTCCAAAGTAAACTTCACTCCAATTAATACAATACGCTATCAAAATATTGACACGTGATTGTTGTAAGATACAACAGTTACGATCATTAGTTCTTTCAATCATTTTTTTAATACATCAAACAGACAGCTATGAAAACATTTATTTCTAATAAAATTAAAAAACCAACACATCTATTTTGCTGGAAAAATACTTTTCAAGCTAATTCGATACTACTGGTGAGTATGAATATTATTGCAGAAATAAATGTTTAAATATTACTATGATTAACGAAATTAAAAGCCCGCTGAGCTCTCATCCCAGTCAACTTAACCTCAAAAATGTATACCCCTCAGGTGGCCACCAACTTAATCCATAAGCTTCAAAGTTATTAAGTGTGATTGGTGTCTATAGTGCTGTGTTAAGTTTCATCCTTCTATCGTATGATGGACACTTAATGGACAAGAGGAAACAAAAAAAAAAATGCACGGAAACATCAGCACAACCCGATGAAATGAGCAAAGGGTCACCTCCTACCGCTATCTGCAAAAAGACGCGCAACAGTCGAAAGTCGAAAATAAAGTTTCGCTGCGACTACTCCCCAACTCCCTTAAAAGTCTTACAAGCCCGAGGATGGACGAGAGTATGGAAAAAGTCTTTTTTTTTCCTTACCACCCAAATATATATGTGAATTGATGATCGAAAAAAAAAGCCACGCTATAATACATATCTCAGGTTCAAGAGCCAAAGGACAACTCCTGGGACATCTGGTGGTGCGACACGAGCGAGCTCAAGCTCGCCCTGGACGGACCGGTGAAGCTCGAAGCCAACCAACGGGTGTCCCACTTTCGCAACCATTGCGAGTTGACGCGCAAGAATTACCTTTACCGCAACCTGAGGCGTTACAGGCGACTGCTCGTTAAAGCCAACAAGAGCCGCGAGGCCGAGCTCTGCAACGCTATGCCCATGAGCTTCGAGCTTCCCGCCGAGTACAGGATGCTGGTCGAGGAGCACAGGCGCTGCCAAGGCACTACTTGGATAGTAAAGCCGGCCGGTGGATCACAGGCAAGTTTTGAGGCCAGGGTTTTTTTTTACAAATTTATACATACAGAATAACATATATTGCCCGGCATTCAATTCATTACACTTAACGTTTGCAAATCTGTTTTCTTATTGGCTGGTCGTGTAATTTCAAACTTTACGGTTCGCGAATGAAGTGTCGGGTATAGCGGTACTACTGGCTTAGGGGTTCCTGTGTGAATCCCCGAAAAAACTTGTCCAGACCAAACTACAGGTCGTAACAAGATGATTCAAATGAATCATCCGAAGTTTGTTCGGTTCGCAGGGCCGAGGCATATTTTTGTTCCAGCGCCTCAAGGACCTCACAGAATGGCGTACAAAGGAGTGCGTAATGATGCCTGACGCCTCGGACTTGGACACCGTACCCGCGGTTCCGGTAGCAACGTACGTTGTCCAGAAGTACATCGACAACCCGTACCTGCTCGAAGGTCACCTTTACTGCTCATGCATGATTATTATTTTTCTTTTATTGTGAAAAAACAAAGTGAAATCTACAAAACATGTTTTGCAGGACGCAAGTTCGACCTGCGGATCTACGTACTGGTGACGTCGTTTCAGCCTCTGAAGGTCTGGCTGGCGCGGGAGGGTTTCGCCCGTCTCTCGAGCGAACAGTTCAGCCTCGAGCGCATAGACGAGCGGCGAGTTCATCTCACCAACATGTCCATACAATTGAAAACTGAGGCTCGGAAGTCCGAGGGCGAGAGAGTGCAAAGCCTGGGCCGCAAGTTGCCGCTCAATTGGCTGAGAAGCCATTTGACTGCTCGGCACGGCCGTGAACTTGTCCAACGGCTTCTGCGAAATATTGCAGGTGCGTATTTATTTATTGTTTTTGGAGAAAATTTGATGTGTACACGTTTCGGAGGATGAGAAAACATTGGACGTCAGAATGACTCTTTCCAATTGAAAGGGACCGATGTAGTGTGGGCTTCCTAACGCAGTGACAAAAAATTTTTTTTTCTTTTTTTCTTTTTTTTTATTATAGTGCTTTACGTCTGGCTCTCTTGTAGAGGCACTACTTAGGGCACTTGGGATTGGGAAGGAGTCGGGATGGGATTGGAAGGGGGGAGGGCCCTAACAACTGCATTAGCCCATGACAATTGTCATGTGGATCAGGAAAAACCCCGGGACATCTCCCGTAGGAAAAACCTGGTCCGGAACAGCCCGGTGTATCTGCCTCATTTCTGACCTGGTGTCTAAGCTGCAGACTTAGACAGACAAAAATGTTTGTTGTCAAAACCGCAAGATTACTATATTAATGATAAAAATTACCATTGAAGTTGCTTATCATGTCCCACCTAAATTTTGCGTAGAAATTTTTTGTAAGGATTATCGCAAAACCTCCTAAGACTATTATCTAGGCTGGTGTTTATATACTTAACAAGTTTTTTAAAATGCCATTCTCGTAATAATACCAAAACTGAAGGTTTAATTGGTTTAAAAAAATTATGAATGAAATTTTGTAATGATCATTGACATCAAGCTTTACTCCTGTAGTTTGGTATTATCATAAGGGTAATATTCTTATCCGAAAGGGACATATCTTCCCCAAATATTATGAGCCTACGCATCCTGTACAGCGTAATGCTAGAATTCACACAAAAACCAAAGAAAGTGTTTTAGATTCCTCAGTACTTAAACATTAAAACCTCAATGAAAACTGGGGAGTTGAAGAATTTTTGAACAATTTTTAAAAAATGTTTAAAAAAAAATAATAAAAATTTTTCTTTCACATTCAAGTGAAAATAATTTTATTTAATTAATTAGTAATAACTATTTGAAACAATAAGTTAAAAATAAAAGAAAATACAGTGTAGAAAATTTGGTCTTAAAACAACTAATCGATTGTGTTATTCGCAATTATCTGTCACAAGTTATTATTGAAACGTCTTAATACTTATTATTAGTGATTTTGCTTTTATTTGCGAGATCGATTAATGCAACAAGTGCCNNNNCATAAACGTTAAGAACAACAGGTGATGTATAAGGGCCATTTTACACAACGACTCTACTAAAATCCAAAGTCAGCATGCAGAAAATAAGCAAAGACTGAAATATGCATGAACCAATTTAAGGAATAGTTTACATAACAATAGTAACAGTAAATAAAAAGATCTAAGGGAAGGGTAGCTCAGAACAGTGAGCAAAAGGATATTACTTCAAGGTTAAAAAAATGTACTCTTTACAATTATGTCTGAGGACAAAAATTCGATACGAACAAAGAGTAGAATCAAAACAGAACTACCCAATATCATAAAATCAGTAATAATAATAGTAATAATAATAAAAATAATAATAACTTATAACCATGAATAATATTATTTATTACATTACTAATCTCAAATCTAGACTTCTATCACTCTTTTTATCAGTTATTATTTTTTAATTGTTTCAAAGTATCTCAAAAAAATTTGCCTGAGTAAGTATCCAAAGTAGCATTAACTAAGTATGGATGTTTCTTGTAAGACTGAAAAAATTTTTAACATCTTGGCCTTTGAATTTGAAAAAAATTGTGTAAAGTTTTCGTTTTTGTACCTACTTTTCTACCAATATTGCTAAAATATTTCTACTTAACTATATTTGTGCCTATTAGCACCTCTCGTTTTTAACCAATTTTATTTCATTTAACAGTGATCTTAGGATTATGTACATGACGACTCTCTTATCGACTTTCAATAAATGAGTACACAGTAGGATTGGCAGTTGGGTATACTTATCCTTATAAAGATATTACTAAGGGAGTTCAACGTAGTCTGTTTAGTCGCTTAGTTTCTCCACCGTCAGTTATTGTAGATGGCGCATCTCAATTTTGGTTAATGGCTATTTCCAAGACAACATACGTGCAAACTGTAGGTTTGTATTTATCTATCAAAAGATGAGTTGATGTATTCGAATATGGCGACTACAAACGTGTCTAACGTCTGATTGACGACAACAAACAGGGCTTTCAGTATTTTTTAATTTATAAGAAGTTCATTGGTGCTGTTAGCCTCAATAACTCTGAGTTTTACCATAAATGTGTCGTGCCATAATGTGATATACGTGTTGCATGTGATATACTAACCGTTGAACCGTTGAAAGTTTTTCAAAGATTTATTATTTTGTTGTTATTACGCTTTGGTTGGACCTTGTGATCGATGGTAAGGAAAATTTTTAATTACCAAATACAAAGTGTGAAATAAAAGTTAACGTAGTTTTCTATAATTGAAATATAATTTAATATGATAAATTTTAGTTAAAACAAATTTTTTTATTGGTTAAATTAGTGTTTATGTGACAGTTATTGTTTTATGTGTGCGTAACGTATTGTTAATATGTTTCAAAAGTATTTGTCTTTATAAATTTAATTTAATGAGTCTACATTTTAAGGGTGCTTGTACATGGGCGTCTTATAGTCTTAAGGACGTTCGGTAGTGATTGAATTTTCCAACGAATTTTTCTGAAATTGTGACCAGACGTTTTTATTGTTGTTACAATAAACCAGTCAAAATTTAAAGAGGTTCCTCTGTTTCGTTTTCGAGATATTGAATTTCAAAGTTAAGTCATTTTAACACTGTCGCTTATGGGAGAACTGACTAAATCACAGTTTTAAGCAAATTGGGCCAGTGAATTTGGCCAATTTTTTTATATGTTACAGATAATGTTATTAATTTGATGTATACCAAGTTTTGCGACGATCATCTGATTTGTTTATAAATAAAAAATTAAATAAAAGCTCGACCGAAACGCAACGGCAACGTCGCAAGTGGTGGGAAATTCAAAATGTTCCAGGATGTTGATCAGTAAATATCTCAATATTATTGTAGATATTTATGCATTCACGCATAAAATACAAGCTTACGTGTGTGCGTGAGTGTATGTACAGAACGCCCACCCCTTCCCATAAAAAACAATAAACGTTAATAACACGCTATTTATTTTTTTTTTTAATTTCAAATTTATTATTTCTTCTTAAGATACAATTTTTTTGCACATTACAAAATCACATGCTCATAGTTTGAATCACTCATCTTAGAAATCATCCTACTTATCTGACATCCCATGCTGTATGAGACTTGTCAAGTCATTTAAAAATTCAAGTATTTTATTTACACTGGTAGCTCTTTTGATTAAAGGGCTTTGCCCATTTATTAGAAACGATCTTAAACCATCATTACCTTCCATAAATTTATCAACAATAATATTAAAATCTACTTTATTTTGACTTAGATTTTTAATCANCAACACTCAACATTTATGATCTCCAACCGCGTAAAAGCTCAAGAACCAAAGAAACAAAGCTTGCCACGCGCACCCGGACAGTGGCGGTGATAATAATGTTTAATGTCATCGCTGATTTTCTCCGCAATCATGATGGTCGGGGCATTGGTGTTGCCTCTTGTGATTTTGGGCATGATCGAGGCGTCGACCACCCTCAGGGAGCCCACCCCGTGGACCCTGAGGTACCGATCGACCACGGCACTCGGGTCGCTTCTCGGGCCCATTTTACACGTCCCCACAAAATGGTAAATCGTGTTGGTGTACTCGATAATGACGCACCTCCAGTAACCGTCGCTGTCGAACCGATGCTGCCTGCACGACGGCAGAGGCTCGGCCAGCAAGGTGTACCCGTTCTCCTTGAAAGCCCTCGTGCCGAAGAGTTTTCTGGCCTCGCGTATACCCGCGACGATGGTCCTCAAGTCGTGATCGTCGCCAAAGTAGTTCGGGTGGAGCAACGGGGCCCCCCAAGTCGCATCGGTTCCGTTGAGTTTCAGGTAGCCTCGGCTGCGCGGCCCAATCAGTACCGGGCTGATGTTGATGCCGTCGTAGTAAGCCAACGGAAGCGCGGCCAGGCCCTCCGCCTCTTCGGCCATGGCAACGTGGTCCTAAACGCGCCAGAGGATTTTTTTTTTTTTTTTTTTTTTTAATAACTACACCTTATACGCGCGTAACAATCCCTCACCTTGACATTGGTTCCGTCGAACGTGAATTGTATGTCCGGGTAGTCGGGGATCCTTTCCAGGTCGGTTTTGACGAAGCAACCGGCGGACAGCACGCCCATGGCTGACAGCGCGTTCCTCTGGGTCTTCAAGTACTCCAGGGAGTCGTTTTTCATTTGGTCCAAGCTAGCCAGGATCCTCGTTTTCTCGCTCAACTTTATGGTCAGCCCGTCCATTCGCGGGTGATCGTGGAGATTCCTGCCGACCGGCAGGTCCTGGATCGCGTCGATTCCCAATTCCCGCAGATCTCATAAATTATAACATCTCAGAATAATTTAGTAAAATAAACATCGTAGTTAACATCGCAGTTGTTGGTCAGTAAGGTCACTGATGTAACCTGGTATGTATAACAATATGTAACTGTGACAAAACGTTTTTCGTCACCTTTTTTTTCATAAATATTAGTTAATACAGAAATGCAAATGTATTACGATAATTATTTCTTTGCTTACGTAACAGAATTTAAATATTAATATTGAAACATATTTTAAACTTAGCGCGATTCTGCCAGTCTGCAGGTGCAGAGTGTGCAGACTGCCAGACTCCATGTAATCTCACCCTAATGCACACGTAAATTTTTAAGAAACTCATATACCTAACCGGTAAGAAAGATATTTGATTAAAAACTGGCGCTCCATTCAAATGAATGCGTTTCTCTTCACTTTCATTTTTCGATAGTAAAAGGAACATGTTTTTTGTAGATGACTAACATAACTGTGCGCCATAATGAGCAAAAAACAGAACTGCCAATTAAAGATAACGGTAATTTATCGGTGCATTCGTTGAAAAAACATTTTCCGGATGCAGAAAGCTTAGCTTACATGGACGAAAA